TTCCATGTGACTTAATACCTCAGAAAACCCAATGAAGGGTCAACCATTGGATCAGCTCTTAACTCTCCAGCACACAGTAATACCATACCATCACACTATACATCCCTTAGCTAACTATGAGCTCTTGATTAGAGAGTAGCCGTAACTCATAAAATGTGTTAGGAGTGCACATTCTGGTGCAAGACTCAGCACAGTGTTTAGTGGTACAATTAAGTTGCTTCTTCAGTTTTCTGTTCTTAGTTTTCTTCTCTATAAGATAGTAAAAAAAAAAAAATTAGTCATTGCTGTAGAGGAAGAACCATCTCACAGCTACCCTACAGCTGTTTTTCGGATCCCGCAGACTGCACTTGAGGAGACGGCTTATCTTTCTCCCACAGGACAGCTGGATTTGAACCACCAGACAGCGGTTCCTTCAGGTAGCAGTGCTAGGATGATGAAGCTTCATCTTATATATTTTGGGCACATTGTTAGGAGGTGCTATTCCTTGAAAACGGGCCATCATGCTTGGAAAAGTGAAGGGCCAAGGAAGGAGAGTAAGACCCTGGACCAGATGGGTGGACACAGAGCCTGCAGCAACAGGCTCATGTACGTCAGAGAAGAGGAGGATGGTACAGGACAGGGTAGGGTTCAGATCTGCTGTTCACAGGGTCACTATGAGTCAACTCAATAGCACTTTACAACTGCTCAAAATAGATTTAACATTTTTATGATTCATTGGCTACTTAAGAGAACTATAAAAACTTTCTATCCTAAATATTGTCACTGTAAAACAGTTTTATAATATTTCTAAGTGTAAAAAATGAATCATATTGGGTCACTGGGTTAAATATAGGAAAAAACAAATACTTATTACGGTTGTGGAATTAATCCAATCCCCATATTCTCAAGTCGATGCACTACTCCATTGGCCTAGTGGTAAGGAGTTGCACTGCTAACCCAAAGGCAACAATGGGCAATCTCCTTTGCAATTTACTGGTTTCTGTAAACCCAATGGAGGGTCAGCTATGAGTTAGTTCTGATTCAAAGTTATATAACAACATACACTACTCATTTTAAGAATAAAGGGATAAAGCTTAGTTTCATCCTTGAAAAGCTGCTCCTTATGGAGGAAGTGCATCTAATACATTAAAACTTGCATTTTATTCACTCTGCAGTTGTAGTCCAGTAATAATAAACTTATAAATCTCATGCATGACTAATTTGAAAAAAAAAAAATTAAAAGGTAACAAAATGGGTATTATCAGTACACGAAAGTTAATATTGCTTAATGATTTTTAAGTCCCTTTAGGACACTAGAGCTCTTCAAAGTAATCATTATCATCAAAGAAAAGCAGATAAACAAAGTACATTTTAAAACCATGTCCTCAGTAAGAGAACAAATATATTTCAAAACAGATTTTACTGTGTTCCCAAGAAGTCATACCATAACTAAGCAGACAGCTCATCAGTCGTCCTTCTAGAAATACCCTGTGAACGGCCAAAAGAGCAAGCAAAAGAGACCTAGAGGAAGTGCAACCACAGAGCTCCTTCGAGGTGAGGATGGTTTCACGAGCTGCGGATGAGTGTTAGGAAAGGCCAGTTCTTGTGAAAAGGCATCATGCCTCAAAGTGCACAAGACGCTCAATCAGATGGATAGTCGAGGCAACTGCAGCAATGAGCTTGGGTCCATCAGGGATGCTGAAGATGAGGACAGGGTTCAGATCCCCTGTCACAGGGTCACCGTGAGTCACAGCTGACTCAATGGCACCTAACTACAACATCCACAGTAAAGATACAAGTCCAGCAAGGCAAAGTAAGTATGCACAAAGTTACTCATTACATCATTATTTGTAACTGCAGAATACTAAAACCCCAAATGCTTTATTCCACTTGAATTTAGAAAGCATCTCAAACAGAGACTTGATCCACTGAACACAAATGATTACAGATCTGACAAGCTGTGTGTGTGGGGGGGGTTGTCCATCATACATGAAGAAAGTAAATGGTTATTTAAAAGACAGGGAAGGAGAGAGGACCAAAAGGGTTGTCAGAAAGGCACTGAAAGTTGCTCTGTACAACACAGAAAGCTGAACAGACAAATACAAAGGGAGCTTGAGGTGGGGGAAAAAAACACCAAAGTGTAATGCAATGTGCAAACTGGTATTTTCATAGTCTAAAAGCATCTTCCCCAGGGCATTAACTGTGTCAAAGGAAAAGGTAATAACATTATAATGGAGAAACAAGATGGATACAACCTTAACCAAGTGATCAAGTTTGTCAAAGCCATGAACCTCTTGAACACATTATGTTGCACTGACATAAACTTCCTGGTATGATGCTTTCTTGAAAATGCAAGACCTCATTCCAATCACAGGAGGAGGTCAAACACTAATCAAGGAACAACAGCCTACCTACAAACTGTTACACTCTCCAGAAGAACTCTCAGAGACGGGATACAACAAAGCAAAACTAAGTAAGTACATGGTGAAATCTCAGACAAGATCCTAGAATAGAAAATGAGTACCGGAGAAAATGCCAATAAATGTAAAAAGTCCGTTAATAATATAACATCAACATGCATTTCCTGATTTTTATAATCATATTATGATTCTGTAAGATGTTACGAGGGGACCGTGGGTGAAGACTGGAGTCACTGGACAGTACACACCATTCACAGGCTGTAAATCAGAAAGTCAGAGGGTTTTGTTCACCCAGAGGTACACTGGAAGAAAGATCTGGCAATCTACTTCAGATACCTTGGCCACCAATACCCTGCAGAGCCCAATTCTTTTCTGGATCATGGGACCACGAGCCAGAACAGACCTGACACAAAGTAGGGTCACTGGGAATAGTGTAATTTTTACAACTTATCTGTAGGTCTAAAATTATTTCAAAATGTTTTAGTTTGCTGTTCCATTTTACACAAAACATTTAAAATCTGCTTCACTCAGTCCCACTGTAACTTGACACTGGAATTTTAATTTAAAACACTGAAGTTCTGAGACAACACTTTTACATCAGGTCCTTAACAGAAGATGTTAAAACATGTTACTTTTGCTTCTGCCACCACCTTACTCTGGGAGGAAAAACATATTTGCAGGAAGGAAAATAAAACAGCAGGCTCAACGTGAAGTTTATGAACATAAAAAAAACCCCAATGAAGTACTTTTGAAACTACATGTTTAGAGAAAGGCAGGGGGTTTGAGTGGGGAAGGTAGTGAGGGAGATGTGGCTCAGAGTTATTGTTGTTAGGTTCTGTCAAGCATGACTCACAGTGACCCAATGAACAACCGATCTGAACCCTGCTCTGTACTCACCATCGTCTCGGACAAAGGCGTCGACTGCTGTAGTCACTGTGTCAGTCCATCTCACTAGAGGTTTTCCTTTCCTTTGCTGACCCTTCATCTTTCCAAGCATGAGGTCCCTTTCCATGGAAGAGACTCACCTAGCTACATGTCCAAAGTATGAGAGAAAAAGCTTCACCGTCTCTGCCTCCAAGGATCCCTCCTGCTGTACCTTCCCCAAGTACCTGCTGGTTCATTTGACCATTCATGGGCTATTCAGTACTCAAGGGGGTTTGTCTAAATAATTGCTCAGAATGACAGCTATTTTATACTCGTATGATTTATATGTGTTTTGATGGATTTTTTTGGAGGGTAGAAGGGTGGCTCAGAGAAAAACCATTTATAACTATGAAATATATGCACAGTTAATAAAAACTTACTAAAGAGAAAAACCAAAACAACAAACCCTCAATTTTTAGATAATCTCTCAAAATCAGGTCCCTGTTTAGAATTATCCATTAACTAGTGAGAATTCAATCTTATTCCCTTATTAAAATACATATTCATAAAACTTCTACAGTTATGCTGTTCTAGTTACAAATAGCTTCTACTTTTCTAGGGCATAATTTCACTTTGTTTAAGCAAGAATTCATTAAAGAAGCTATAAATAACCTTTAAATATTTAGCCATGAATAGAGGGTGGACTGGCATTGATGGCTTATTTTAGTACTAATGCAGATGCTTTTTAAAAGCTACATTTTAGCATGCATCAAGCTAATGATTAACACTTGCAGTGCAATTTTCAATGTTCGAATAAATTTCTCTTTATTTTAAATAGTTTTTGCTGAAAGTAAATATTTTACTTCAGCTATTTACTACTAGGAAAGTAGCCTCAGAGAATGAAATGTAAAAGACTGAAGTGTAAGAATTCGTGACTTGAAAGTGTTATTTCTTAGCATCTAGCTATCCTATGCCTCTCTCCCCACAGATTCTGGCTGAAACTGTACCAATGTGGGGGGAAAGTCTATAGCACTGCAGAACTCAAGGGTCTATTCTGTGGTGTGTGCAGCACAATTATGAGTCATAAAGTTCACAATACTTTAGATACCAAATTCCATAAAATTTTTACTTGGAAAAAAAAAAGTTTTACAAAATAACAATCTTCCAATCACAAGACATTTTCCCATAGGATAGATAAAGCTTTCCACCTTGGAGATTATAGGATGATACTCAGAAAGGAGGGATGTTTTTAAAGAGCCACCTAGCTGCAAAACTTACAACAGAAGTAGTTTTGCTTTTTAAAAAAAATTTTTAAGTGCCTTTAAAATTCTGAAGCAAGTAATGAAATATAATTGTTGAATCTATTTGAAATTTTCAAAGTTTCTTTAAAATGGTCCATATGGTATGCATAACATCACAGCTGGTACAAAACTGCTTGTATTTAGTTTAAAACACAAAAACAATACATCTGAACAATATTCTTTTAAAAGAATTTGAAACGCATCATAAGGCAAATTTAGACAAGAGTGTTGACAGTACTCAAGGAAAAACAAGTTGAATATTAAAGTATTCAAACATTTACTTTTTTTTTTTAATACTACTGATAAAGGAGAGCTTGCTGCAAAATCAACTCAGGTTGGCTGCTTTGAAAATGCATACAACATATTTTGTTACATATATTCCAAACAAATGCAAAACTAAGTTTTAGGACGTGAACTCCCTTTTTCCAGGGAGGGCCTAGTTTCTCTGTTGCAATCTGGCAGCTTTGAACTTTGAAACCCTCTTTGTAGTTCCTTCTGACAGAATTTCTTTTCGTTCTGGAATAGTGGGTAGCACAGGATGAGCAATGGCTGGGTGTGGAGTTGAGGACGATAAAAATTCTTTTTCTATTACAGTTCCAGAAAAAGCCTAGAAAAGAAATTTCAGAATAAAGTACTAAAATAAATAATAAGATGCCCACAAAATCTTTATCTTCATCAACTAGCCTAATTTCTTTTTATTAAAAATAAATTAGCAAGGTTTTTTTTGTAGAAGATAAAATGTTAACAATTAAAACACGCTGTTCAGAGAAATCAAGTACCTTTTAAAGTATCTCTTAATTGTACCCCAAAATATAAGTACATTTGTAAGTATACATGCAAGAAAATAAAAATATAAAATACATGTTTTATCTGGGATAAAATTTATGGATTTAAAACACCCCTCAAATTTCATACACCCTATTTACATTCAGTTCCTATTATGAAAGATAATGTTTTAAACTCTCAAAATATTACTGAAGTGTCAGATTCCAGCTCTGTCCACTAGAAGAGAGAGCTCTCTCGGACAGATATGATGCCTATTGGCCAAGCAGCTTGATCTATTTGGTGGTGCTCGTTTATGCAATTATTTCAGTATTTTATTGGTTTTTGCCTCCATTTTATTGAAGAGATTAGTGGAAAGCTGAAAAATAATCAAAGTGCGGATCCAGTAGAAATTAGGTTTCAAATGTAAGGCAATTAATTCAATGTGGAAATGATAAAAAAAGTTCCACAAAAAAATTATTCATTTCAACTGGATGTTTGCTGGATCTGATCTGGTCAATTATATGCACGACCGGGACAAAATTAAGTGTGTAAAAAATGCTGGAAATATAATCACACACAATCGGAAATCATGGCATAGTTAGAGAAAAAAATTTAAGTGATTTCGAATAGTAATTTGCACTTCTATCTTCCAAAAACCCATCATGTCCAAATCAAAAGCTTATATGTAAATTTTCACATACTTTTTTTGTTTCTCTTTGTAAATTAAATGCTCAAAATTACTTAAGACAATAAAATACTTCAATAATTCCAAAAGCCATCCTTCTCTTCCTCACCCAACCACTGAAACAAAACCGACAAACAAAAGCTCATCCCTCTTGAAACCTCGAGAAGTACAGTTCTTGAAAGATGTACAAAGTTAATTTTTCTAAAAATTCTATTTTACTATGACTAGAATGGAGTCATCATATTCAATATATACTTTTGAAAAAGAGACTATTTTATCATTTTAAAAGATAATAAAAGACTCAAAAGCACTAGTCAAAGCCATGAACTGCTTTGGTGTTTAAAACTGTAACCTCATCCTAAGGTGGCGTAGCCTACAGGGAGCCATGCTACTAACCCCAAGGCCTCTCTGCAGGTCAAATCCCCCAGCTGCTCCCTGAGAGAAAAGATGGGCTGTCTCCTCTCGTAACAATTTCTGATTCACTTACTCAGGGCAACAAGCATATTACCATTTACAGCAGCGCTCTGTCGGGTTTCCAAGGCTGTAAATCATTAATAGGAGGAGACTGCCACCCATCTTTCTTCCTTGAAGCAGATGGTGATAGAGAACCACCAGAGAAACACAGCCCTGTGGTCGTCCCCTACAGACAACTAACTCCATGTGAGCTCCAAAGGGTGGCGATGGGCTGGAACCGACGTGACAGCACTGAGTCTGGTTTGGTTTTTAGACACCAACTGATCAATATACAATACTAACAGCAAAAGTCAAATGAAGAGAAAGAAATTCCAGAGTCTGGTTCTAGCTATTAAATAAGTTCAAATACTAATGCTCTCCATTCCCAATTAAGAATCATTCAGTACAAGCAATAAAATGTTTACACATGTACACGTGCACACACATGTATATAAGTATATATATGTAATTATATACACAACCGTGGGTAACAGTGTGATACAGGTTCTGAGTTCCTAGCCATCCTTAACTATTTCTTAAACTGAAAATCTGAAATACTCACCAACACCTAAAAGTTTTTTACAAGTACTGAATTTAATGTAAGTTGTATCATACAACTATTTCATATTCTGCTTTGGGGTGTCCCTATTACCCCCTGTCCTCACATTCACATATAAAATTATGTGCAACATGCTAGCTGAGAATATTTGAGTGTGTACTTCTTTTTTTGACGAGAGGGTCCAATGCTTTCATTTTAAGCTCACTGCTGTCAAGTCAGAACTTCAGTGAGTTAGTGAGGCTGCAACTCACACAGGAGGAGACTGCCTATCCTTCTCCTGCAGAGGTGCCCGTGGATTCAAACTGCTGAAGAGGCAGGTTCAGCAGAACAATTTTTTACAATCAATGCTGCCAGAGCTTTCAACAGACTATGAAAATGGCTCCTTGACTCAGCATCAGTTAAGTTTCACCAGCACAGGACAAAGTCTAGAAGGCAAACTCCACTGTTATGGACTCAATTCTAACTCAAGGGGACCCTCTGTTGGGTTTCTGAGGTTATAAATTCTAATGGAAGGAGACTGTTCTTTTTCACAAAAGCAACTGATGGATTTACACCACTGCCAATTGTTTTAGGTTAGTAGTGCAATAACATATTGCATTACACCACTAGGCCTCCTTTAAATACAGAGTTCAGGTAATGATCTGCCATATATATTAAAAAAAACCACAAAACACAATCAAAGCATTTAGAAAAAGAACTATATAAATCTGTTACCTAAATAATAACTAGTTAGGGACAATTTACTGAAAATAAGATGCTTAACATTCTTCTAGTCAAAAGTATGCCAATTAAGATACTTTTAAAATTTCATTTTACAGAAGCAGAATTGTTACAGCGGGTTAACACTTTTATGGAAAAATTTCTCTGGTGGCTAAGTAGTAACAAATTGTGTTGCCAAGACGAAGATAGGTGATTCAAATCCACCAGCTGCTCTGGAGAAAGATGGATTATCAACTCCTGTGCAATTTATTGCCTCTGAAAACTCACTGGAGGGTCAACTATGGGTCAGTTCTGACTCTACAGTTTAAAACAACAGCAGGAACAGCAGCAACAGCAAATTCTATTTATTAGCGACTATGAAGACCTGAAGCGCCTGCTGCAGAGGCTCAATGTCAAGAAGACAAAGATTCTCACCACTGG